ACCTTGAAGAGACCCTAAAGGGTCCCAAAGTGACCCACGATACCCCAAAGTGACCCCACAGCATCCCAGAGTGACCCCATAGTGACCCATGGCACCCCAAAGTGACCCATGGCACCTTGAAGAGACCCTAAAGGGTCCCAAAGTGACCCACGATACCCCAAAGTGACCCCACAGCCACCCAGAGAGACCCCAAAATGACCCCAAAGTGATCCCAAAGCCACCTCAAAGTGACCCTAAAGTGACCCCAAAGCCACCCGTGGCACCCCAGAGTGATCCCAAAGAGACCTACAGGACCTGAATGACCCAAAAGTGACCCCTGAGTTTCCCCAAAGTCACCCCACAGTGGCCCCAAATGTCCCCAGCCCCTCCCCAAACGCCCCCACCCCACAATTCCCCATCCCCTCCCCAGGAAAGGCGATCGCATTTATCAGCAGCTGCGGCGCCTCGGGGCCTCCATGGACTGGGAGCGCGCCTGCTTCACCATGGACCCGGTGAGTGGGGGCTGGGGGGGATTCTGGGGGTCCCTGGGGGTCCCTGAACCCCCCTGACCCCCCTGAAACCCCCCTGAACCCCAGAAAATGAGCCGGGCAGTGACCGAGGCCTTCGTGAGGCTCCACGAGCAGGGACTGATCTACCGCAGCCGCCGCATCGTGCACTGGAGCTGTGCCCTCCGCTCGGCCATTTCTGATATCGAGGTACCCAAAACTGCCCAAAATCACCCCAAAAACGGCTCCGGGACCCCCAAAAACCCCCCAAAACCCCCCCCCAAAACCCCCGGGACATCCCCTGGTAATGGGGCACTGGAGCTGCGCCCTGCGCTCGGCCATTTCTGATATTGAGGTACCCAAAACTGCCCAAAATCACCCCAAAATCGGCTCCGGGACCCCCAAAAACCCCCAGAACCACCCCCAAAACCCCCAGAACCACCCCCAAAACCCCCGGGACATCCCCTGGTAATGGGGCACTGGAGCTGTGCCCTCCGTTCGGCCATTTCTGATAT